CGGAGGATGGTGGTGAGTCGCCCCTCCACCATCAATAGCTCGGCCGGCAGAATAGCCTGAAGGTCCGACCATCTTAGCGTGGCCCAGACCTTGACCAACTTAGCCCAGGCCCAGATCCGCCAGCCTGCTGCCAGAGCGGGGTTGATGACCACAAGCTCTAGCTGCACCAGCATGTAGACGGGGTAGCGGGGTGCTCTCTTGATCAAGGGAGCTCCCTCCGCTAGCTGCTCCACTATGCTGTCCTTAGCGGCCCAGACCAGGCGACCGAAGGTGGTCCTTAGCTCCACCGGAAAATCGGCCACCTTCTCCATCCAGGCGATAGCTTTAAGAATGGCTTCCGGGACCGAACGGCCGCAGGGTTCATCACTCCTAGCGAGGAGGTAATCCACCAGGTCCGCGGCGGTGCCCGGGGGCGGCCTGAGCTTAGCTGCGTGGAGCCATTGGCGCCACTGCCTGTAGTAGCTCAGGTAGCGCTTCAAGGTAGAAGCCCGGGTCTTCCCCGGAAGCAACATAGCGGCCCTCACGGGGTCCAGACTCCCGTGCAGCTTAGCGAGAACAGGGGCGTGTATCTCTAGCAGCTCTTCACGGAGCTTCCTTGCCCAAACCTCTAGCAGTCGCTCCTCTCTAGCCGCACTGATCGTGCTGGGCTGTAGCGTCTTTCGATTCCGCTCCCCGGGGGGAGGTCTTAGCAGCACCGGTGGCTGATGCACCGCGTCCTCTGCCTCTTCCCTCGGAGCAGGTAGCGGTGGCATCCGGGCTCTCCAGGTGATATCGTCCTGGAAGTAGCCGTGCACCCTCTGATAGACCGTAGCTTCCTGTCGCGCTTCCTGCAGCCAACAGTAGACGCCATCCCATAGCCACGGCTGGTACGGAATACCTAGCTCTCGAGCTAGCTGCTTGGCGACATCCTCCGCGTCGTCAAGATCCACCACTGCTAGCTCCCAGACCCCAAACCCCTGGCTGGAGAGATGCCGATAGGCCCTGTCTAGCGTGCGCCTACGTTCCTGCTGGACCGTAGCCTGCGCCTCTAGCTCTGCCTCCATCTCCCAGCCCTCGAAGAGCACTCCCGTCTCTTCGGGCTGCGGGTCGCTAGCTGGGGTCTGCGGGACCCACGAGGGTACCTCCCCGGAGGGAGCCCCCGCGGTATCGTCCTCCCCTAGCGTGGGGACCTCGGTGGGACACGAAGCACTTAGCGGGGGCGGGGAATCCCCAACCACCGTAGCGCAGTCCACGGCTGTAGCTGCGCCATCTGGCGTGGTCGGCGCCAGGGTAGCGTCGCTGTCCGACATGGCAGCGCACCCAAAGCAGGGCTAATTAGCCCTGTTCCCCTTCCTACCCGCACTCGAAATTTGCCCCCCAGTAGCTGGGGGCCTTTCAGCACAATGGCCACGGAGTAGCCCTGCTTCACCGGCCATGTGCAGTCACTCTAGCAAACAGACAAGCTTCGTTCTGTTTTGCTTCAGAGGAAAACCCCTTCGAAGTTTTCTAGCGAAACACCTTCGATGTTTCCCCAAAGGGATACTAGCGCTAGCATACACGGTCGTACCTCGTCCCTCGGCACGAGTGCGTCTTGCACCACGATTGTGCTGCAAGAACTTCCTTGACATGAGGCTTGAACATGTCTTCTCGGATTTCATCGAACTTAGACACTTATAGGTCATGTTGCTGAGGATCTTGACCAGCAATGGGAAGGGGCGTGGATCCTGGTTTCTGTCCTAAAGAGCTTGCTGGCGTAGCAGCAGGCTTTTCCCGTGTCAACATTACACCTTGTTGACGAAGTTGCTGCTTCCTCTTTTCGAGCTCAGCTTCTAACTTGTTTAAGATCTGCGAAGCTTGTGCTCCTTGTTGCGTAGGCGCAAACGAAGCAACTGAACCGAGCATCATGTCAAACACGGGCTGGAACAACTGTGTCGAATCAACCAACTTGGACGGCAATTCTTTGCCAGGAAACGTGTGACACCATACTGCTTCGGCAGTACCGTCGACATCATATTATTTTCCTGATAGCTGAAAGAAGTTGGGACACAATGATGCTCTCTGCCACTGATCTTGTCGGTACCATAGACACGAACCTGCCATGACTCAAAAGTCGCAAAACCCACTCTGCTGGGCCATGAAACAATAACTCATGAGCTCGTATGTCCATAACATCCCGAGCCTAAAGCCTTTCTTTCGGCTCCAATGATTAGCTTCGATTTCCTTTTTGAATGACAAGCCATAAGCAGAGGTGGTATCATAGTCATGGTCATCAGACACGACCTTTGAAGGTAGGATGGGAGATGGAGCTGACGATGCTGCTGCTGGTGGTGTCCAGGTTTGCTGAGGATTAGCAGGGGGGGCCGGTGACGCATGATATGGGCGGCTGCGATAACCAACTGATGCGCCACGGTTAGGTCCATACCATGAATGATTCCGGTCGTTACGGGAATCAGACCAGTCCCACGACTGCTGAGACCACGCCATGACACGGATGGAGCTCAACAACGTCAAAAGAATTTCGAACAAAAACTGCCACTTGCAATATGAATGAAAGAATCACTGCAAGTCCTACTGCCATGCCAGTGTGCATTAGACTCCATGTTGCTTCGCTCGCACAGGCTCACTCTCAGCTCGATGTCAACATGATTGTTGAAAGAAATCTGTATTATACTGTTACATGCTGCAAATCGGGGTGTACCTGAAGCAAAGTCAAGTAGACAACATGATTTGAGAGAGGCATGTTACCAAAGCAATACTAGGGAAATGCCAACTGACATGACGGTTCTCAGCAAGTAAAGCATCAGAAGACTAATGCAATTGTTGGCTGGTACACCCAGATTGCAATTCCAGCGGGTTTTGCAACACTGCCACGAAAAGCCCAGCGGCCATCTTTGGATCTCAAAATGTCCCAAAAGTATCCGGTGGTCAGGTCCGTGTGAGTCCCTCCCGTGGTCCACTTGCCGTGTTTCAGCACGGGCAAGGATGCAGAAACGGGCATCTGACTAATACTCAGCAGCCTTACGAAGCGCGACCCTTTCATTTGTCAAATGGCCCCTTGCATAGAAAGTAAGCGAAGGAAGCCATGCTACGTCATCCTTGTTCCACCTGGAAGGTCGAAAGGCCCCTTGCTTGCAAATGGAAACACACGAAGAAAAGGTCGTGTTGTGAGCAACATAATACAGCTCCGAATCACGCAAAAAACGGATCAGCAGCAATGATTGCTTGATTCAAATGAACATCAGCAATGAGACCTACTACTTGCTCAGATCAGAGATCTTGACAAGGCGGACACGATGATTATGGCACTCAGGCTGTTGAAGTCAAATTTTGTTGGCATACACATAGCTGGATCTTTGATCTGTGTCTCCTCGCTGGCGATACTTCGGCAATGTCATACTGGTAGTTGGCAGGAGGATATACCCAAAGCTCAGTCTTGAGGAACCAACCTTCCTTGACCAAAGAATTGTCTTTGGCCGGGGGCCAGTGTGCCAACATCGGGTTACGCACTGGACGAGGAACATACGGTCGTACACTGCTAGCCAACTGCATTGCCGACGAGGTAGTAGACTGAATCACAGCCAGCATGTTGTTATCAGGCGGGGCAACCATATTGCTGGACATACTTTGCAAAGACATGTTCGACATAGGCATAATGGAAGCAGCTACAGAAAATTGGGATTGCATCATTTGCAAGTTGACTGGTGGGGCCGTGGGATGGCTGGCCACACACATCGAAGTCAAATGTGCTTGCTGCAAAATTTGCATACCATAACAATCAACGTCATGAATGTTGGCAAAGTCAATGCGAGTAGACATCTGACCAGCCGTACATGTAATCGATGCACAAGGACGAGTAGATTCCGCGACTTGATCATGAACAACTGGAGGTGGCGGCGGCGGAGGGGCAGCTTTCGCCAAAGTGTTGGAAGACATCCAACTCGGCGGATGGGGAAGAGCGCTTTTGGGGCGCGAGCCATCAGGCAACACACCGGGGGGATTGTTCGACATGACAGCGAGGAAACGAGCGATTGTCGAGGCAAATCAGAATGTACTGGCACTCGAGCAGACTTCGAACAGTGCAGCAACCGTTGGCTTGTGATAATTAAAGTGATCGGCCCCCGCTCGTCTCCCCTACATGGAGGATGGGGGCCGTCCGAGGCCCGAGCATGATCCGATGAATTCGCACAGAAGCCCATCAATTCGAGAGTTAATTGTTTTGTAAAATCTAGTTACTGGGCCAACAATGATCTTCGTCCGACCATCTTCTGTACAATCAAAGATTCTGTGTCAATGAGCCTGGTGTTCATGAGCCTGGTTCTTTTTTTTTTTGGAAAGTCATATGAAAGAGTCATCTTTCATTTCCTGATAGTCAGCAGGGTAACTGCAACAGAGCAGGGGTACTCAAAGCTAAAGTCGTGAATATGGACAAGGACAAGCAAGGACTCAATCAAAGAAAAGAACAAAACAGAACAACCTCAACGAAACTGTCAACGATAATTTCAATCTTCATACTCTTACCGTTGCTCCAGAGTCAGTAGTAAAGTCACGAGCTTCGGACAAAGCGCTGAAAATCAGTTTCGTGGAAGCAACCTTCCACTCAGCTGGCGCCAACGACGGAAAGCCATGCTGTACCACACTTGCAGTTGGTCCGGATGTACGTCGGAGATGTGGCTCTGTTCTCCCATTCTTTTCCTCTTGATCTAGTTTTCTATTTCTAGAACTACTGATCTGCTGTTTTTCGACTGTCTAGACTTACCGGTCTCCAGGATCTCCAGGCTCATCCAACAACAGCAAGCATGCGAAAGCAAACAGTTGAAACTGCAAGCTGCGACATCAGCAGTAACCCATGACAGTTTCTTGTAGGTACAGGAAACTGCGTCCGGTCTCCCTTCCAGTCATGTTCCGTAGCTTCATTGGCCTGGCTAGGAACAAGACCGTTCTGCCCTCTGCATTATTACTTAGCCCGTCGTTACAGAGATGACACACACACACACATCAAGCTTTGCCCCAAAGACCCACGCCTTACGCTTGGACGTCGACTCGAATTCACGGCCCTCCAGGTCCTTCGGACATGAAGCCCTTGCTGCACAATCTGATCGCAGCGATCATGTAGCGCACTGTTGCGAAACACAGTAACACAGCAGAGCAACAGTCACTGTTTGCAGGACCTGGAGTCGAGGCAACGAGATGGCTCAAGCATGCTGAGGTGCAGAACATGACTGATGTTGAAGACACCGGTCGCATGCAGAGATCCTTCCAGTAATATTTTTTGTCCATCGAACCTCGGTCAGTCTACAAGGAGCTTGGGCAAGCTGGCATGCTGAGTGCAAGAAAGGCAGCGTGGGGTGTGCAGGGTTGGTTCTCGCTTTTGGTTGTTGGTGGGATGGGGGCAATTGGTATGGGGGTGGGTGTTTGTTGGTGGTCGTTGCGAAAAACTAGCTGCAAACATCCAAGTCTACGCCGAGTTTTCAGGCACTAAGCTGGCTGCGAACTCCCAGCATGCGCATTGTGTTGGCATAGTCCAACCTGCAAAATCAGAAACAGAGGCTGCAGCAGCCAAAGCTCAACATCTCACATTTGGCGACATCAACAAAGCAAGGCTGCTTTCAACTGCGGGCTTCAGGCCTGAAGAGGATGCGCAGCTCCGTTGCTGACACAAATGGTGGTAACCTCAATCACACCAAGGACTCCGTTCTGGACATCTCTTTGCCTTTATTCGCCGAGGTGCAAGAGCGTCTCGTCTGAATGGCTCCGCCTCGCCTTGCCAAGGGTGTTGCGTGCAACCTGCACCGGCGACACGGCAACACGGATCCGTGAAAGGTTGCTGCCAACCAAAGCAAGCAAGCAACTTGATGACCCAGGCCCTACAAACTAAACAGAAAGGCAGACGGCTCAAGCCCGCAAGCAGTGCTCCAAAAGCCACAACGACGACAAGCAGAAGAGCTAGCAAAAGACTGCACGGCAACGTTGAAGTCGATGTTTACCGCCGTGTCTGAACGGCCTGGACTTACGGATGCTGAATCTGATCTGAGCGCACGGGAAAGCGCGGCTTTGGCCTGGCATGTCACATCACGGCCCCGCCCGCCTTCCGCGGGACATAGACGCAGCCTCGGTGCCGTGCCTGGCTCGCTGCACCCGAAAACACCCACACCAGCCCGATGCAACGCGCACGGCTTCAGCTTCTGACGAGCCTTGACGCCGAAGCAACGTACAGCCTGGCCGGCCGCCGTGTGTGGCTGCGCCCAGCCGACCTCTCGGGCCCAGGATCGCTGCCACGGAAAACCTTAGCAAAGTGGCTTTCTTGAACTGTGCTTGGCGACCTCATGCTGTGCTTAAGGAGTTGAAAAGTCGAGGGGAGTATAGGCTTGTCCACTGAACACTTCGCAAGCCTCACATCTTCACGGCTTCAAACGCCTGTGCTCGGGACCATCCTTGCACAGCGTGACCAAATGCCGGACAGCCCTGGAAGCAGGCAAATGATTGCGGCTGTGTTTACAAGTTCGCTCAGGCCAGTGACGGGTGGGAGGATCCGGCTTAGGCAATCCGAGGCAATTGTGGCAGCACGGTCTGCACGGTCGAGCTGATCAAGTCTCGGCTACGTCTACGGACGAACTTGATCCATGCTACGAGCATTGGCTGCCTCCGGACATGATGACTCCCTGGACAAGTCGTTCAGCTTCGACGAACTGCAATCTGCTCACTGGCAAGCTGCCTCGCCATGTGCAGCAAGCATGGGTGGCGGTCGAGATGAAGTTTGCAAGTGGCGTGTTGGATGTTGTGTGGATACGTGTCCTGAAGCGCAGCCTCTCCTCGTGACTTACAGCTTCGTATTGGGAAAACACGTCAACATGCAAGTGGCCAGGCATCGCATCGAATCCGGCAATGGCGTCTGCTTAGGTTGCGAAACCTAGGGTCTGGCCCCGGCCCTGGCCCTGGCAGGAACCAACGGAAAATGCCTGGAAAAACGTGCAGCTTGTTGCGCACACTGAGATCCCAAACGAAGCCAAATCAGTTCACATCTTCGTCATTTTCTCCGCCCCTTGTCTTGGATGCCTGCGTCCAGCAGCTAGGCTATGCTGGACAGCCGGCCAAAAGCTTCTCGAGCATCAAGAGCTGCTTTCCGAACCTGGAGCCTGCCAGTCTGTTCTGCTCACTGCAAGTCTGGTTTCGGAATGCAGCCACTTCGCCGGCAGTACCTCGTGGGTTGGGACGTCTGAGAAGCACTGCTCAGCTGACAAAATTCCCTGCACAGCCGACAAAATTCACGTATCTATCACTGAGGTCCAAAGCTGGGGATGGCAAGGTTTCTGCCAGCTAGGCCAAACGGTCTACGATTTAGTCATGCACTGAAGAGGAGAAATTGACTATTGCGGCATTGCCTTTTCTACCTACCGTCTGCACAAGCTTCTCATCTGAGACTAACACGCGACTCAGATTACCGCCTCAAACAAGACAGCCTCCGACAAGGGCTTGTACTGTCTAGTCTTAGCATCACCGGGCAATGCAACCACCTGCAGCTCGGACCCTCCGGCATGGCTTGGAAAAATCTTGTAGTAGATCCCCAGCATCGGACTTAAAGATTCGGCTGCGAAGTGGACGAATTCGCAGGTAGCACGGATTTTGCTGCAACAAACCTGTGCTCAGACAAGACCGCCTGCCAAGATGCAGCTATGATCAGCCTTCGTTATGCACGATGTCTGTGGACTCAATCAAGCGAGCGTGAGGTGATCGACCGACCCAGCACACAAGGAGAACGATTGCAAAGACTTCGGACATGTCAATCCTCTGAGACTTGTATCGACCCACGCCCGGAATAAGCGGGGTGTTGGGAGCTGCTGGCATCGGAAACCCATGTCTGAATTCACCATACTCCAAACTGCGCTGTATGAAGCTGATGCTCCTGCTCGGCTTGACTACAACTCCGTGACCAAAGACACGACTTCACGCCATGCGCACGCATAGCAAGCTACACCGAACCGATCGGAAGCAGGCAGCTGGAGAAACGCATCACCAAAATCCGGGCAGCATTAGCGGGTGCATCAGATAGCATGAACATGCCTTTTGCATGTCTGCCTTAATGCATCTGATTTGAAATTAGCCGAAAGTTGATCGATGCAGGGCCAACATCCAGACTGCCGAACATATGATCTTGTCTACGAACATCAGGCGCTTCCCTCTTCAACACACACCGATACCGCCGTGTCCCTTATCCCATGCTTAACGCCGAATCTTGCATCGCTCTCTCGGCAACTGTGCATGCAAGGCGAAGCCGTTATTGTTGAGTGGATCTTCGCACTAACATCATTGGAAAAAGATCCTACAAAATCTGGATATTCTGGCACGGGGACCGTGAGACTCGACTAGGCAAGCTGTCAAGGAGCTTTCGTGCTGGGCGTAGACGCGGTAGGAGTCTCACCCCTCTCGCACGGACGCAGGCACTCGTTCTTTCCTTAGTTGACACTGCTGCGGTGATGCATCTTGACTTTACCACTCACCCATGCCGTGGCTGCAATAAAGCGAGAAGCAAGTCGGTACAGTGAAGCGTCTGGGGTGAGCATGCGCACGGGAGACGCAAGCAGCATGTTTCCTGTTGTATGCAGGAGCCCATTCGGTTTTTCTGTCGTTCGCTGCTGCACATGTCAGGCACTGATAGTGCTTGGAGCCCGCAGACTCTTGAGCAATCAACTGGAAAGGTGCCAGAATGGTGGTTTATGCACCTGCGACTGCCTCTCGTCGTTTCCGGGCCCACGCCGAAATTGCTACAATCCGGCCAAGAAGCTGCCCTTTCAGAGTAAACAAACGCTGTCTGCACATCCTTACTGCTCGACGGACCCAAACCAACATCATCCAACATCTGAATCGTAGTCGTGGACTTTGGAGGGTGCACTTCGCCACACACCGCCAACATTCTGCATCCTCTTTTGCATCCGGCTGTGTGCCGGAATACCGTGTAAAGTTCTCCCATGCTGGGGGCAAACGGCAGAGCTTTGGCATTCGGAAGAGTGTCAGCGCCTCCGTGATTTGGTGTATTCGCCGATCTCCGTTTGCCGCTCCTGCGGCATCTCCGGTTGCAAAGTGCTGCAAAGTGCAGATGGCGGGTTTTTTCAAGGCAGGAAGGACGGAGGCGCTTGCTTGCCGCTCCTTCCGTGCTCACAGAAGACCTCACGCCACATGTTGCGACACCAAAATCTTTGTCGTTTCTTGGACACAGAAATGACCCCCTTTGACCAACATAATCGAAGGGCCTAGCTGGTACAGCAGGCGCTGGATCTCATCATCACTGGCGGAGTCGGTGAGGGGCACGTACCACTTCGGATGCTGCGAAAGGCCTCCGCGGATTGGAAGCATACTGTTCGCGAGCTATGCACCACTAACTCCAAACACGATTCTGCTTCGGAGTGGAAGCTTCGTGAAACGACTGATTACTCCGCTGACCGATCAGAAAGCCCTCGCGTCCATGCCAGTCGCTCTGCTATAAGAGTCAGAGCCTTCCTGGCGAATCCAGCCAATGCCACCTGCGGAACAGACTCCCAAAGGCCAGTGTGAAGCTCCGGCTTCGGAATGCTTCCTGCTTCCCCTGGCCTTTGCAATTTGCATTGGGAGGTCCACAGGGTCCAACGTAGCCGTCCTGAGAAAGCCAACAGAGGGCCAGGTGCCCTGACTCGACGTCTGCCTTCCCCTTCTGGCCTGGCCTTGCGGTACCACTCCTTGTAGAAGGACCCGAAATCAAAGTCGCACGGGGGATTGGTAAGCTCGGCCTCAGAGCAGCTCCCTAGGCGGCTTGCACTCTACTGGGAATGGGTGGCAAAATCTGGTCATCGCGTGTTTTCAAGCCATACACAGCATTATCATGTCCTGTCCAAGCATCGACTGTCGGCATGCCTGGATACCTGCAGGAAGCGATAACTCCGAAGCCGAAGTTGGAATCAGCCAGGCGAGCACAGGCCTTCTGTCAAAGAGCTCGGCAGCCTGTCGCACGCGCTCCTGTGCTTGGCATACTGGACCAAAAAACGTCCGAACCAAGCCGAAAGTGGGCATGCAGGACAGCCCTCGCTTTCACTCCTCGTTCGCAGTCGTGCTATTAATTCCGTTCCACCAACCTCGCGTTGCCAATGGCAGCTTCACTGTGCAGGCTGCATGTGGTCCTATGCTGCAGCATACTTTTCTGTCGTCAAGTGGCTGAACTTGATGCCTTCATCGGTTTCCGGATCATACTCTCTGTGGCCGTGCCTGCATCAGACGCACAGGAAGCCTTTGAGCAACCAAGTATTAAGAGTGCCTTGCCACTCTCAGCTTGTCACTGCAAGGCAGTCGAATTAACAAGTTCTCGTGCAAACCAGCATGACCACACGGAAAGCGAGTGGTAAGCGCGCATGCAAGGCCCTTTTAAGCTGGGCCTCCGATGCTCATGATGCTGGATCTCCCCCCTCTACAACTACCAACTGCCCCTCTCGAGAATTAATACAACATGGCGCTCGCGGTCATTCTCGCTTTCCGCCAGTTCATAATGGGACCAAGAGGTGGTTTATCTAGAACTTCCGGGGAGGTACTATACAAGTCAACCGAGCATCCAAGTAGAGCCTAAAGGCAAGATCCAGGGTCCAGGGTCCTGCGTACTGGACTGAAGCTTGTCCTCTCTGCAGCGCGATGCCGTCTTGAGAGTGTTTTTCCAATGCCCCTTGTGCGATGTGTTGTACATAGTTTGGTTGGCTTTCAGTCCTATAGTCCTGCTTTCTGTATACGGACTCCATGCCGCTTCTTCTGCTTGCCTTCTCGGCAACGGTCCTAATACCAGAACTGAAAGAGCAAGGTAGATGAAGCTTTTGCTGGGTCCCTGCACCCCTCCCAGCCCCCCCCCATTTGGAAGGAACTGGCAAGCATTCAAAAATCGGACGCTTAACTTTTGTTTTGCCGAAAAAATCCTGTTTGCACATTTTCTGTGAACAGCAATAAGCAACAACGTCGAGCAGTAGATTTCAGCGATCCGTCTAAATACCGGTTTCGCTGGAACGGGATGCTTTTTTGTTAACATGTAAGCTTCTGTACACTCATAAACGCAACACTAAAATAGACAAGCCGCAATGTTCTGCAACAAAGTTGCCTGCTAGGGCGGATTTGGTCTGAATAGGAATAAATAATACGATGGCCATAGATGTACCCTAGAACATACCCCCTGGAAGTGGTAACCTCAGGACGCCCAAACTGCCACACATGAACTCCAGCAGGGATGAATCCGAAGTCGACAGCGTCACACCCTAGCAGCCCTGAGCCTGGCAATTGGCGGTTCTGCAACAGGCTCAAGAAGATCGCAGGCTGATGAAGCGATATTGGTTTACGCTTAAAACATTTAGCGTCGGGATGAGGTCTGATGGCATTTTATTAATTAAACATCCTTAGAATTTGGGCCCAACAATTTTTGAGGAGACTCGGGGCTCAAGCGTCCTGGCAGTGATCTGATGGTTTTGGAGCTTAGATCCTTTATTCGTGCCACTCGTGGCAATCTCTTCCGAATCGGAACCAGCCTCAAATTTGCTTGTTCGCCACCCAATTTCGCTTTTCAAAAAAGCTCCACGGATTTAAATGCTTGGGACAACCGACAGCACGCAGCCTTCAGGGCCTTCAATTAAAAGTAGTACAGCTCCTTCTCCCTGTGGTTCGTCAAACCTGAGAAACCCCGACGATTTTCAAAATCGGAAATTGCGAGCGCCCGATAGTTGAAATTTCCACAAGACCAGAAAAAAACGATTTTCAAAAACAGATAACCGGATTTAAATGCTCGCCAAGCTGTATATAGAAACATGAAGCAAAACTGCCGCCGCAGTCTGGCAGGACTTCGCGCGAGGCAGCGACATGAACAGTACGCGGCTTTGTGCTGACAGATGCTCTGTAGTTGGAACAATCTCAGAGCTAGAAGGTCATGAGACCCCTAAATCTTAAACCCGAAACCCTAAGCCATAAACCCTAACCCCGAAAATCGAACAAGCTAGGGTCATCATGTTCCTACTTCGCATCATCGGCTACGCTGGTGGTGGCCACCAGCATTGTCCCAGCAAAAAGGATGTCGTTAAACACGTCCAATTGTTGAAATCCGCTGGTGTGGCATGCAAGGGCTTGCACGTAGTGAGCTGCTCACAAGGCAATCGCTCGTCTTTCTGTGTGATTTTGGTGCCGATGACGATCAAAACAAGCATACCTGGGTACTCTCTCGGGCATGATGTGGCACGGAATACATTTTTGTGCCGCCCGTGTAACTCAAATTTCGTGGCAGCCTGTTTTGATTGCGTAGCGAAGCGCCGATTCCACTTTGCTGTATCAGGGCTGTGGGGTGGTCCAAAAAAAACTGCAAACATGCATGTCAAGTGTTAAATGCTTGGGAGTTGCTCTGACCATTCCCCCTCTCTGCACTTAATGCAATGTTCCACTACCGGTCAAGCTCGCTTGTAATTCCGAGCCTCGCATGCGTGCTGTCAGGCCTTATGCCTTTGGATGACATCTAAGAAATGTTGTTAAGCTTATCTCTCGTCTCTTGTAGCACCGGCCTCCAAGAGGCATAGTCCTTGATGCCCACCAACCTGAGAACAAGCATCATCTCGTCGGGAGCTTGAAACAGCTCTAGAATATGTCCTTTGAGTCTTTAATCCAAGAGCCGCAATGAGAGAATCATGAGAAGCAAAGAACATGCTTTAATTTTGGATCAAGCTGCTCATCGAGGCTGATCTCACCTTGGGCACAGCAATCGGGCAGACCACCAGGCCGCACTGTCAGCCGGGCTTGCGCGGGAAGCGTTTCAAGGCCGCGGCCGGCTTCCTCGTAGTTCCACGTACCTAGTGCTGAGATCGCAGGACGGGTCCAAGCATGCAGGCTCCGATCCTTCAGCGATCAACTGAATAAGCACAGACGTTACATATTTCTCCGGGGTCCAATCAAAATGATGTTGGGTGACCGTTTCGCAGCGTTCAAAACCAAATTAGAGTTACATACATGCCACTGCAAAGTAAAGAGCCAGCAAGTGTGCAAAGGCCTCGGGGCACCCACTTTGTCGATACTTCAGATGGAGAATGCGGGCACGGTGCCCCGATGCATTTGATGTGAAACCGAAACAGCGTGAACGAAGGGAGTCGAGCCCGAAGTTCACTCCCAGGCTGGTGGGATGGTCAATGTGCCCAAACCTTTTGCAGTAATGGCTACAGCGTGTTCCAGGTGTGCATGAATGGATCATTGCAGAACTTAGTGTTTCTTGAAAGCATCGGCCATGGTCTCGAAGCGGAAATGCCAAAGTCTGCAGCAAAGCCACAGGTGCCATTGCCATTTGGCTCGACGCCTGCTGAAAAAGCTCCGCACAACACAGTCCTCGTATCTGCCCGTCCACAAGCCGACTTCCTTAAACCTCAACCGTTCAGCAGCGGTCGGAGACCCATGGTGGCCTGGGCAATAGCCTCCGGGCTGGCTAGCCTGGCAGGAGTTGTCCTTGTTGAAGTACCTGGGCTCAGCTTTTGTCGGTGCTGACTGCTTCTGAAAACACCTGCAAGCGAATGCTCGGCAAACTGAAAAGGCAAGTGGCAGATTGTTCGGACAAGCACCTGGCATTGTGTACCTGGCACTCACAAGCACGAGTGCACCCTACTGCACAATCTTTCCCCGTTTGAAAGCAACTCCGTCCGTTTGAAAGCAACTCCGTCCGGACAGCAAGAAATCGCGATAGGGCAAAGCTCGAAAAAAGGTGAACTAGAACAGCGCCACTGGAAATTCCAGCCCAGGAATCAAGGTCATAAGCAAGAGACCAAATCGCGTTCGGGTAGTACCTCGGCTCGAGCAAAGTGTCACCGACGAGAGATTGCTGAATCCATGTCCATCTACTCCCACGTCTATCTGCTCATGTGACTCGGCAAAGATCAAGTTATGTGCTCTCATCGACAATTCTGCAACCCTCTGCACGATGAGACAAGTCGCACCTGGTGCATGGGGAACGGATACTCACCCAGGTTGTTGCAGCCAACGTTGTATCCATAGGCGGCGTACTCGTATTCGTTCTTGTACGGCTTGAGATCTCCAAGATACTGATCCTCCCGACAACAAAAGGTACGATTGCCACTGGAAGCGTTTGTCACGCGGGCCCGACCTTACCTTCGGGGCAAGGCAAGGGTTTTGGGGCGTGTCGCCGCGCATGTCCTGGAGGCGAGTGGACGCCGCACCTTCGGTGAAAAGCGGGACGCGGAGAGGCGGGCGAGGGTGGCGTACCTTCTGGGAAAGCGTTTTGGGGCGTGTTGCGAGGAGGGTCGCGGAGCGGCGGGCGAGGGTGACGGACCTCGGGAGAAAGCCTTTTATTTAGTGTGCCCCTGGGAACATGTTCGGAGCGCCGGGCGTCAGGCGAGCGTGCAGGACCTTCGCAGAAAGCGTTTTGGGGTGCGTTGGGGCTTGGATGGGCTGGCGCGGAGCGGCGGGCGAGGGCGCCGGACCTTCGCGAAGTGGGGAAAGCATTTGGGGGTGCCTTGGGGCGACAGCGGGCCAGCGCTTCTGCTTTGCGACGTGTCGCGGAGCGGCGGGCGAGAGCGTCGGAGCTTGGGGAAAGTGTCGCGGGCCCTGTTCTGGAGCACTCGACGACTTGTGTAGCACGGCAACACTGTAGCATTGTAACACTGAAACAGCTCGGATTTGTGTGCTTCTCCAAACAAGGCATCTGGCAATGGTGGGATAGCTGTTGTGAGTATTGTCGGCCTTGGATTTCTGGTTCTTTTGCGTTGTCTTCACAAACTTACGTGAAGTGTTCAAGCTCATTCCCCGAGCCACCTTGCCGAACTTTTTTTGTCTATGGGGGCCTGAATTGTGGCAGACTTACCCGTGGTCAAGTATTGGAGCTCTTGTTTGCCGAGCATTTCTGATGAGAGCTGCGGGTGCCGGTCTGGGAAAGGCTTGATTTTTGTTGATGCCACATCAAGCAAAACAGAAGTGGGCAGTGTCTACAGTCTTGCATGGTTTTTTGAACTTGCCGTCGACATGAAGGCCATACAGCAAAAGTGAGTGGAAGAGCCATGGGTTGAATCCTGACTTTAGCTCATGTCATGTGACTACGCCAAATATTCCAGATACTCGTTTCTGCAAGCTGGCTCTGCAAGTGCGGCTTGATGGCAAACCAAACTATAAGTTGTAGCGCTCGAGCCGGAGTGTGTGCCGTTCATTGTTGCTACTGCACGTGCCAGTATGTTACAATACAAGGCCAGATGTTTCAAGTGCTTTGCAGGCCCGGCTCCAGAGCCGAATGACGTCTTCGCGCCACGTACAGAAACTTGCTGCTCAAATCGCAAGTAAACCAAAATTCCCCTGCAAAGGAACACATGCTACTGTTTGCACGTCATGAACAGTTGATGGACTTCGCAGGAGGAGACTTTCTGCTGAAGCCGACATCACCCTTCGTTTATGATTTCCGGCAAGTTGCCGAGACGAAAGCCCAGCCAGAGTCACATGGCTACGCAAACCCTTTCAGCACACGTCATGCCGGATTTCTGCCGCCACTGGTCGGTGCATCTGTCGCTGCTTCATGATTGATTAGACTTGAGCCTGCCCCAAACGACAAAAGTTCGTCACATCACCTTTTGGATTTGTCAATGCACACTTGTCCGTTCTGCAGAAATTGTAGCTTTTTTTCGCATGATTTGTTAAATACTGCTATGCACCACGCTGTCCATGTTCCTAATCCAGCTACCGGAATTGCACATCTTGTCATTTCTGGCTGCTGCTTATTGAACGCAAACACAACCGATCTCAAAATGTCTGAAAACAAGTGTCGGAAACAGTAGAGGTCCTTGAATGCTGCCCCATCACCACAGAACTTTGGCTTGTAACCTTGTAGAAGGCAGCAACGGCTGAAGCTCGACCGGCATTCTCAACAAGCGACGGACAGCAGTGTGTCGATTCTTCCGTGTCAAGGCTCCAGTCACTAGTTCACTATTGGAATCTCTGCATGCAGACATCATGTACCAACCCGGAAGTTGGGTTTTTTTGGCTTGCCCAACCGACGACTTTCCAACTGACCCTGCCAGCCTTCTGTTGTTCCGTCCTTGTTCGTGATATTCGTGCGACCACAAACAAAAGGGCCCGTGGCCTGCAGCATTGAAGGACTGAATTTCACTCATGCGCCTCATGCGCTATGCGGTCATGGACTCCAAACAATCCCTGCTCACAAAACGAGTCAACAGCAAGCCCAAAAGATCCAGTAGCACGCCTGCCCCTTGTCATAGGCCAATCGCACTCCGAAGTGCATTCCGAGCCGAAGAAGCGGTGCAGTTGCTCGCATCTGCACCTGGAAAGTGCTTCCATGTATGCTCTTGGGTCATATAGCATAGCTCCTTCGTAGGTGTGAGTCCCTTTCCCCAAACTGGACCAAGGCAGCAGAGGTCCCTTGAGGTTGCGCCACAGACACACTTGTGCCTTGTAGCGCAGGATGCGCGAGATTTGGAACTTGCGGGGCGCTTGAATGACGACCTCATGGTGGAGATACCACAGGACGCCTGGCAAGCCTGGGCAGAATCATGGAATTTTTTTGGGCTGAGATCTATGGGCGGCCTGCAGCCGGGACGGACGTGGCACAATACGCTGCTCTAAGTCAACCGCGAATTACGAGCATTTGGCATGTCCATGGTGATAATGACAAACCGACCAAGCAAAGCGCGAAACTTTCGTAAAGTGCTACCCAGACACTGGCGACATTAGTGTTCAAAGGCGGGTACACTTCATCTGACCTCGGGTAAACAAGACTTCTTGATTTACAACCACACTGCCAAAGGCGACGTGTTCCTTCACCCCGCATGCCGTTTGTGTTTTCGGAACCGTCAAGGAAGCAACCAACAAATTCTGCAGCTGAGGTCTCCGCACTGCCCGGTACATGTAGAAAGTGAACCTCGGGTATCCAGGGTTTTCGTAAACGGGCAGCTATTCGTTTATTCAACGGCTACATGCTATATGGCTAGCTGCCCCGATGCATCCGCAACCAACAACCCGCTCACGGAGGACGATGCATGTCGTCAAACTTCCACACCTCGAGCCTGATCACAAAAATCAGAAGAACACCCGCAAGGACCGTCGTCCCCGAGGAGGCGCGGGCAACGGGGTACCACTGCTCCTAGTGCTGCGAGTTTATGCTAATTAATAATATAACAAAGAACAATAGTACATGCAACATGTAGGTATATTATACATGTCCAATGCAGCAAGCACCCAAAATGGACGAAACGAAACTCACAACAGCGCCATGGGCACGGCCTAAACAAAGGAATACCCTTCTTGGAAACCCTTGCCATATGCTTCACACAGGCTCTGGACTCTTCTGGTCTGGCAGCCCTCACAGGGACCCCACTTACCTAAATCACAACGCCGTGATGATTTGGCAGCAGGTCTACGGAAGCTCAATGTCAAGAAGCAGAGGCGAGGCACTGGGAGAATTCAGTGATCCGTCCTTCCTTTGTCAGGGACCACGAATGAAGGGCACAACACGCGATCGCGCAAAATTGTTTCACAGCTGTCCTGGCTGGAATTGAACGGCTGCTGACACAACACCTGCGTGATGCCCATCGTTCCACACCTATTTGCACGAAGCTAACACTTGAACACGAAGTTAACGCTTGAAAAAATGAATTTGAAGGTCCGGCATCCCCCACGGCTTATCGGCTGTGCAACAAGCGCAGGTCCAATTACGGACGCATGACACTGGAAGTCTTGGAACCAAACTCCGGGCAGCCGCTCCTGTCCAGAACCGCACACAGGGACTGCGAAAATTGCACAATCCTGCCATGCTGTCACCAAGGTTCCATGTCCAGGGTAGGGCTGTGACATTCACGGAATAAACCTGGGCACGGTTCGCGGCTACATCTGTAACCTTAAACTTACGAGAACATGGCATGCCACTTTGCTACCGATGTATGCATGTGTACGCAGGCCAGCTTGGGAAAATCGGTGTACAGGCATGCGGCGTTCGCTGGAGCCGGTGGTGTCGTCTCCGCTGGCGCAACTGGCGCGACAAGCTTGAACAGAAAGGCAGCTCGACCGAAAGGGTCAACGAAGAAAAGCTTCAAGCTTAATCGGCAGACAACACCTTGGCTGGTGACGCAACCTTCGGGTGAGCATCACACCACGACGGGAGAATGCCGTGCCTGCAACGGGAACGGACTGCTCACTCGTGTCTGGCATAGCTGGCGTCGGCCTTAGAGAGTGCTCACCGGGTTTTCTCAAGCGACGAATGGTCGTTGGCTAGCCTTGGGATTCTCATCTAAGAAATCGTTTGCTTGCATCGATCCAACTTCAGAGCGAACATTCACTCCTTGGCATGACTGATAACTTCCAGATGCTGCTTTGCCAGATCCAGCGAAGACGCGATGCCGGTGGTGGTGAGGGAACCGGATCTTGAATCGTAGGTGTTGGCGGAGAGACCTAGAATCTAGAACAAGGACGACTTTCTCTGCAAGCGTGACTGCGTCCATGCTGACGGATGTCTCGCACCATTATGGATAAGGACCGGGTCGGAACCCGTTCGAAAACCAAAAGGACCGATTCTGAAAACCACATGACTTGAGGAGACCATCGATTCGGAAAATGGCGAACGCTCAGGCATCTGCAAAGAGAGCAAAAGTACTGCTACTGCTACTACCACTTCTCCTACTACTACTTCTGCGGCTGCTACCACTGCCACTACCACTACCACTTCCACTAGCACTACCACTACCACCACTACTACTACTATTATTACTACTACTACTTCTTCTACCACTACTGGTAGCAGTAGCACTAGCACTAGCACTAGCACCAGCACTAGAACTAGCACCAGCACTAGCACTAGCACCAGCACTAGCACCACTACTACTACTACTGCTACTACTATTTTTTTCAATTGAACGCTGCGCGAGCGTGCTCTGCGCTTTGCGGGCGCCTTTGGTCCCGTGCACTCGTGAAACTGGTTATCTGCTAGCATTCATCGCTCTTATTCCTCTCAAACTGCTCAGTTGAGTAAGACTGTACATCTATGGCTTCCTCCGCCACCTTGTTGTGAACAGACGCGTCCGTCTGTGCACCTGTCCCAGCAATTAGGTCGTACTTCGGGCGAAGCCGGCGCCTAGAGTATCCGTCTTGTGGCGTCCCACACGGATTACTCATGCTGGAGACAGAAGGCCGTAAGGGTCACATGTGCGTAAACCTACATACGACTCGGAGTGCTTGTCGTGACTACCCCCCAATAAGCGACGCTCATGCTCTTGGCTTTCCTCGGACTGCTTCCGTTATTCTGGGTAGGTTTCCTGTAGAGCTGAGTGAGTCAAACAGCCGACAGCTGATTGACCATATCGGCTCAGGCGAAGTGCAGTGTCCTGCATTTTGCCGTGGCTAGCGCGCTGCTCTACAGCTCCCGAAGAGATTTGCAAAAGCGTCGGAAGAGCACCGAATTCCCAGAGGCTGTGCCATACGAGATTTGAGGAGTCTGTGACATTTACTAATTGCTCCCGTACTAAAATGGGTGCTTAGCCGAAGCGCCCATATTGGGGCAAGAGCAAATCAGCACTAAGCTGGACTAAAAAGTGGCGCACTAGGGAGCGGCATTCTCGCCGACGCTAAAAGTGATTGCAAGGCGTGCTGGGCCCTAGACTGATCTTGAGTGAACCTAGCACTAGGAGCCATGTCCTTTGGGGAGAGCGCGGCAGCCTTCAAAGCGCGAGCCAAAGACACTGGGGTGTCGGATGAGAGCATCGCGAAGCTTGAGGCGGAAGGGTTGACAACGATGGCAACTTTTGCCTTCTGTTGTCATTTCAACCCGGCTGCGACAGATGCTTGTGCTCCGGGCTCGTGGCAGTAGCAGGCGAGGCAGTCATGACGGCCAAAGGGAGCTGGGGGGAAGCTGACTAAATAAAAAGAGCTGATTGAGAGTAAGGAAATTACAGAGTGTGCATGTCCGCGTGCGCTCATGACACACTTGGCCTTGACGTGAGGCGGCCTGCGTCAACATGAAATTGACGACGGGCTTCTCACGCACGGGCGCCCTGCTTAGCCCTGAGGGCCGAGGTTGGGCCGGCATGCATCGCCTTAAGCGATGATGCTAACGAGTTCGTTGCAAGAAAAGCATGTAGACGTTTCGGGAAAGTGATTGAACCAAGGCCGCTGAGGCCCTCTCCGGAAGCTTGTAGTCGTCGCAAATCCACACCTGAGATCTCGCATCCGCGGGGTCCTCTGGCCAGAAGGCTCGGTAGTGCCCGGACGCTAGGGAGTCCCCAAAGTGGGCAACTCCTGCCAGGACTTGGTAGGATCGTTGGGCAGTGTGCTCGCTGGATGTCCACACGGACACCATGGCACGGCCGGTCCAGGCGCACGGCTGGGTATTCTTGACACCGTCTTGCCATCTGCAAATCACAACAGCTAGGAGTTCTGGGGCCCATACCAGCGCTCGACTAAAAGTTTGCGATTCCCAGAATCTTAGGCAGGCTTGGAGAGACAGAGGTCCCGTCGGAAGGGGAAGGAGAAGAGGACTGACTCCCACATCCGACTCCTCAACGATTCCCCCAGTACGACCCTGCCACTGAGTGTGCTGAAGGGATCCCATGGGCTTTTGCTGCAGATGGTGAAGAAATTCTGAGACATCGTGTTGCCTGCCATCTAGTCGCCAACCGGCAATGGCATGGCGAAATTCAAACAGGCCGAACAAGTTCAGAAGTCTAGGGGCACTCTCATCCCCGAGATGGGTTAAGACAGATTGAAAAGCACCCAGATCATACCCAAAGCTCGATACTTGATGCAAGGCCTGGAAGAGAGCGTTAGCGTAGCAGGAGTTTGCCGTGTTAGACAGTACGCGTTTGTGTAAGCCTGTAGGCTGTGGCTCTGTGTTCCTGGGGGCCTGCGCCACAGACTCCTGGTTCGAGTCTGTTGTAGGATGACGAGCTGTGCTCGACGAGTTGGAGGCTGTGCCATTCGACCTAGGTCTAAAAAAGCTGGCCAACGACTTTGTCTGAGGCTTGGGAGGCGGGGCGACGGGATCGACGTCCGCGTCAGGCTGCCCTCGCAGCCACTGCGTGCTTACCTGATAGAGCACCGGACACTGCTCCGGATGCAGTCTGCGGTCATAGACCTTGTAGCCACAGAAGGGACATGAGTGGCCCTTGGCTAACTGGGGCGAGTAGCCCTGACAGATATTAACAGCCCGCCTGTGTAGGCGTGACCAGTCCTTAGGATGCGCCTGACGAAAGTGCGACTTGACTTTGGTGTGGTCAAAAGTCCAGAAGTCACACGTTAAGCACCGATGATTAAGGACCTTGGAATCCGCAGTCCTCGAGAGCTCCGCGATGCGGTGTTGTGGGAGCAGAGCAATGTCCTGTCTCAGCTGGAAGAGAGTCCTAATATCGGGATGGTTGGACTGTTTGTCTGCTTCTTTTAGTGAACGGAGCTTCTGAGGTTCCGGACATGCCCCCGAAAGCAAGTGGTCACGTAGGCCTTTCCATTGATGGAATTTACGCTTACATGCCGCACATTGCGGCATCCCATCCACAGCGTGGAGCTTTCTATCGAAGCTTGAAGGCACAAAGCGGTCAATGCTCGCCGGATGAACCCTCGACTTATGCAAATGTAGTCCATTTGACGTCTGAAATGAAGCCGCGCAGAGCGTGCACTCGTATGAGGTTACCGGATGTTCCTCGGGCTCAGGGAGTTGTGACAGGACCAACAGCTTATCTCGGATAACCTGCAGAACCGAGGGGTCTGTCGTGATGTCCGGGCTTTGCACTGCTCGTCGCTCCAGTTTGCGAAGCCGCTTCCTTAGCTTGGACTGCAGTGCGTGGACAGGGTCCTGGATGTTGTAGAGCTGGAAAAGATCCTTAGTGGTGATCCGAGTGGTGTGAGCCGGCAGGTTCAGCACCGAT